CCCGCTCTCCCTCTGCCTCGGGAAGCAGCCCCGCTCTGTTTGATGGGAGCTGTTTTCCCTGCTGATAAAAATAACTCAAATAACTCATTAACGGTGTTTACTCTGTGCTGGGGCCGCGCTCAGGTCCCTCTCCGGTGAGTTGTGGCTCTGAAGAGGGTTAAACAGCTGGAAAATTCCCAGTGKTTCGGGGGAAAATGGCATTTTGCCTTCTCGTTTGGTCAGTCAGGTTGTGACTCTGACTGCTGGATGAATCTTTATTAACAGATTCTCTCAGCACTGTTTCCCTGCTGTAATTTTAACTGCTGGAGGATGAGTTTTTGTGAGATATTTTGGCTACACCTTCATGTTTCTGCTTACAGGGGCACACTYGAGTCTGTGGCTTGTGAAATTTGTACTGTTCTAGGTGAAAACCTCAGCTGGGTTCTTCAGGATCAGAACTGCAGCCAAGCTGCCTGTACAAAAAGAAATAAAAATGTCAAGACCAGATGTTCTGTAGAAGAAAAAGGTCTTAACTCCTCCCTTTCAAAAAAAAAGAAAAAAAGTTGGTTACTGAATATTTATTTAGTATATATTATTCTGTCAGATCCCAGTGGGGATGGATGCTTATTCTGAGTTACACTGGGATATTTCCTAGAAGAATTTAATGTTTAAATTTCTTTAGAAGGCTGAATTGGAGCTTTTKTGCCATCAGCTCACGTTTCTGGTTCTGCACTGCTCAGCTGCCGCTCTGTGGTATTTCATCAACGTACAGCAATAAAATCCATGAAAACCCWCACAGTGATGATGTTCTCACATTCATCACACACTGCCCCGCCCTTGGAGATTTCAGGGACTTCTTTCCAGTTTCTTTGCTTTGTTGTTGTTGTTGATTCCTCATTTCTATACCTCCATCTCTCTAACTCTGTATCTCCATATTTCCATTTATATATACATACCTGTATGTATACTTCTCTCGATAGATACACAACTCTCTCTCTCCACTCCCTCCTTCTTTCCAGTTTCTTTRCTTTGTTGTTGTTGTTGATTCCTCATTTCTATAACTCTCTCTTTATAACTCTGCATCTCCACATCTCCATCTATTTAAATATACTTGTATGTATAGTTCTCTAWATCTATCTCGATATACACACCTCTYTCTCTCCRCTCCCTCCTTCTTTCCCCCATACAGAGCTATCTCTCTATATTTATATCAATTTATAGAAATATCTCTAAATATCAACGGGTATCGCTGCGCTCGGCGCTCGATTAATCGCGGCGCTCGGCGGTGGATTAGCAGGCCTGGCCGGTGCGGAAGCGGAAGCGGAAGTGAAAGCGCGGCCATGCGGGCGCCGGGGCCGTGCGCGGAGTGCGGGGAGCGGGGAGCGGC